CCACCTCTCCTGTCCTGAGTGACCACCATAACAGATGGAGCCCAAAGTCACGGACTAAATGAACTCAGTAGATATTTCGTGGACATTTCTGGACATTTTACAGACATTCCACAAGGGTGGTCCATATAGACTAAGGATGATATCTGTGTGTTATATCAAAGGATGGAAAGTGGAGCGGGTGGTTAATGAGGTTGTACTGGAAAATATGGGACTTGAGTGGCTAATCAGCAGAAAACTAAGCACCACTGTCCTGGTTTCGGCTTAGTTGCCGGCTGAGGTTAAACCACAACAGTACCAAAGGTACTTTCTACCTTTCCCCTGAAAAAGGCTGTTAGATAAACCGATCAATGGCTTGTAGCATGCTAGCTACGTATCTGTTGAGGCATGCGCAGTGGAAGTCCAGCCACTGCTCACGTATTCTGGATGGGCACTTGGAAAGCACAAATAGCTGCTACTATAATTGATGGAAGAATAAAAGGAGGACTGATGGCAGCTCAGGCAAATATCTGACATTACATTTAATTGAGTGCAGCTGGCTAGCATGCCTTTTAAACTCTTCACTGCCAATAGGCAGCAAGGGATGTCTCCATCTGGGGTAGTCATCTATGCTCTATTTCTAGCCATTTGAGAGACAGTCACTTTTAGGGTGTGAGTGGTCATTTTAGGCATCTTAGATGGGGACTTCATGTCTTCAGGCATCATTTTCAGATGAAATGAATCATAGTCACAATGCAGTGATAATACTGATGAACTCTGTTTTGATTATTGAAGGAGGCTACCTCAAAAGTGGGTGTCTACACTGGAGATACCTGTGTTTAGCCCAGTAAAGTAGATCTGGATCTTAATCTTGTGCTGACCCCATACTTGGATGGTAAGCCTGCCAAAAGCCATGCTAAAGACTGCCTTTTTGTCTATATGGCAGTTGCTGAAAACACCTCCAAGACAATGAATCTTATGAGTGACTGGAAATCCAATCCCTCTGACAGAAAGGAAAATCTATACTTCTGTGTTTGATATGTAACCTCAGTTCTCTTCAAACAAACTGCTAGCACAATGCAAATTAAAGCACATCAGAGTACAGAAACTGTATTCTTTGGCAATCTTCCATACGAGGACAGCCAGTAGAACAATCCATCCTGCTGTATGTGTCTCATCTTTGATAGGCTGCAGGCATTAGGAGATGGCAAGGACCCTGCAAAGAGAGGAGAACCTTTTTCCAAAAACAGCTTGCTAACCTCTAAATGCTAACTACAAATGACTTAAGATGTAAACAAAACTGGAGCAAGGTCAGCAGTCTCCTTTCTCCTCTTTGGAGCCCACAAGAATGAGGTTCCCCACAAGGATGAGGTTCTTAAATTTTTACCTCCTTTAAAGACTTTAAGATCTTTGTGACTTTATCCCACAGCCTCCAGGGAGAGACATGTAGGATCTTTACTCTAGCTTCCACAATTTTGATTGTGCTCCCATTTAATATTTTAACTGAATCTGATGAACAGAGATAGTGACAGAAATGCCATCACTGTACACCATCTGCCCATACTTCCTCTGTTAATTCTCAGTTCTGTACATAACAGCTTTGAGTATTCACCGAAAGAACTTGGTTACAGTCCCTGACAGACACTGTACCAACTTGGTAAGCTTGCTGTTATCCTCTTCACAGAAATAAGACTTTCACTGTCATTTATACAACTTCTCTTCTCCCCAATAATTTCAAAACCCACTTGACTGATTTCAGCTAAATTTGACAGATGAATAGTAATCTTAAAGATGGGAAGTTCCTTTCAGTCTCATAAAAATCAGCAATCCCAATCAGTTGGGATAAGAGAAAAATCTAAATTAATGGTACCTCTTAGGCATTAATCATTGTCTTCCATTCCAAGAATCTGTGGTTGCACAACCGATGCACCTAACCATGGTCCGTCTCATCTCTGGCGCAGCCAGGCAGATAGGGAAATATGGTATAGTGAGAAGTCACAGGGGGCAAGAGCTGATGACTCCCTGAGGGGTGTTTATCGTGCTGGGGCACCTGGACTGCAGGACACACGTCCATTGGAAACCAGGCTTGTTAATCCCACTGCTTGTGGAAATACATGGGGTTTAGTCTGTTTTCTTAACTTCAGCAACTGGCTAGTAAAAAACCCACAATAGAGAGAACTTGCAGAGCTAAGCTGAAAACAGTGCCTATAACAATAGTTCCTCAAATACCTAAAGCAGGTCTGAACTTAGTAACCTTACTGTCTAAGAGATGGTATGTAGATTAAGCACTGTGTGAAACAAATGCACTATTTTCGCATAAATTTGTTATTTAACTGTAAAAGTAACAGGGTGCATCCTCTCCAAGCGTATTGGCATGTGTCTTGTTCCACTGTGCTGATCTCATCTCACGGTCCATAACTTGGACAGGCTGCCTTAACTGGTGTCTACGCGGAAATACTGGTGTGGAAACGATTCACTGTGGGACCAGTTTTACCCTGCCTCTATCGGCCACTCAGTTGCATTACAAGTAAATAAGTTGGCACTGAGATTGATAATGTTCTGTTGTTTTGGAGACTTAGCTAAATAAGACTGGTTTCCTAGGTATCATAGCATATGCTTCAACACCTGATACTTACATAAATCTGATATTAAGACACTTGTTTAGATGCACTTTATTTATTGCTTTTGTTAGTTATTTAGGCCTAGATTGGAAAAGGTATTTAGGCACTTATATCCTGTTACTTCTCCCTGACAGTTCTCATTGGGGGCTTCAGGAGCTGTTGATAAAGGCAGGAGGCAAATGTACAGTTTACCTACGAGAAACTGGTAGAGCTGCCCAAACAGAAAGACTGGGACACCTGGCAGTTTTAAGAGATTTTAATTTTGTTTCTGGGTTGACTTTCTTTCCCTGTCTAGTGTGAGCTGCCAAAACTCACAGTCATTGGCACCACAGCTACAAGAACTGCCATAGGTACTGGCACCACTGCCAAAGCTTTGCCATGGCCCTACTTAGGCTAACGCAGGCCTATGTCTTAGCGCAGGCTGACACACATCGACTTCTTCATGACTCACCCATGGGCAACGCAAACCCTTAAAGTCTTATTCTTGCTGATGGCTGCAGCTCTGGGGAATCTTTTGCTGGTATCTAGGATTTTTAGGGGATATTATTAGTTTCTTTAAATGAAACTGCCATTGACATGAAAAGCTTTAATATGAAACTAGGGTGGTTTCATTGTCTTGCCAAAAATACATACTCTGATAAGGCTCGCCTATAAAAGCCAATGAGGATTAATGCATAGGTAGCATAGTGCTAACACTATAAATGATAGTAACTCCTGTTAAGACAGAGAAAGAGGAACCTTCCATTAAGATCCCATCTGTCCCACCTAAGAGGACAGCACCTGGCCATGTTCAGTTCGGGTTCATCTATGAATGGATATATTAATCACCAATGACAGATACCCAACCACTTACAGCTTGTTACTTTTTGCTATGCTTGCATGTGCATACATTCATTAGCAAAGATTTCTAGGATCCTTGCCTCTGTTCTGCATGGTCACCTTGATCCCATAAAGCAACAACTTATAACAAGCAGTGAGGAAGAGCTGCCAGGCTGCCTGCTGTCTGTGTATTCTCCACAGATCTGCAACATATGCGATCCTATCTGCATCTCTACATGTGAACGGCTGCGGTGGGCATGCAGGGCTTTCAGGTCTAGCCATCACCCCCTGTTGCAGCTGTATCCTAAAGATTCATGAACAGGATTTTCAGAAGCAGCTCAGTGACTCAGAAGCATCAGTTTTTATTGGGTGTCAATGGTATATGTGCTCCCACAATATTTAGGTCCTCTGAAAACTCTGTTCTCTGATAATAAGGGAGTCCATAGGCAAATATCTTTAGATCACTTCCTGCCTCAATTAGCTGTAATTAACAAGAGCACATGTGGCACTGCGTTGCAGAAGCGGCTAAAAATTGTATTGCCCAGAGGAGGCAGCTATAGGATCGACACAATTCTTCCTCTTTTGGTACATGAAACCGTTAGGATCTCTTCAAACCTGTAATCAGTAATCCATTTCCCCCCCTTGATATGACACTCGAGGTTCAATATACCACTTGCTCTTGTTCCTGCTTGCTCACCCCAGTAACTGTATTAACACAAGTCTAGGCCATGAGCACACAAAGACTTGAGTGCCTTTTTCATGGCTCTTCCCTGCCATGATGCGGCATCCCTGCAGATGTGGCCCCATCCCCATGTGGGGATGCAGGCCCTGCCCAGCATGATGCAGCAGCAAAGGTATCTGTGGTATGAGATAGGTCAGTTCTCTTTTCCACTTCCTTTCTTGTTTGCTTGTTTGTTTGCAAAAGGAATCAACAGTGGGATGTCATTGCATGACTCAGAACTGGAGCCCCCACTACAGGTAAATAGCACCTAGGCTTTCATCTGGTTCTGCCTTGGACCAGCCTGGCCCGTGAGCTTTGCTGGGGATTCAAGAAATGGGAACTGGAGGTTTCCTCTTCGAAAAGGCATCAGAGAAGACGTAGTGTACCTCAGTCCTAGCTCTTCCAAGAACAAAAATCAGCTAATCATGCAATCACAGAACCACAGAATGGTTTGGGTCAGAAGGGACCTTTAAAGATCATCTAGTCCAACCCCTCTGCAATGGGCAGGGACATCTTCCACTAGATCAGGTTGCTCAAAGCCCCAGCCAACCTGGCCTTGAACACTTCAATAACAGGGCATCCACAGCTTCTCTGGGCAACCCCTTCCAGTGTCTTACCGCCCTCATTGTAAAGAATTTCTTCCTTATATCTAATCTAAATCTACCCTCTTAGTTTAAAACCATTGCCCCTTGTCCTGTCACTAGAGGCCCTGGTAAAAAGTCTCTGTCTTTCTTAAGCCCCCTTTAAGTACTGAAAGGCCGCAATGGAACCTGCTCTTCTCCAGGCTGAACAACCCCAACTCTCTCAGCCTTTCTTCATAGGA